CTCATACAATAACTTAGGCACCTCTTTATCTTTTCTGTATAAGCTGTCCTAGCATTCCTGTCTGAGCTCTGTACAGCTGTATGAACTGTTAAACATGGATCATCCCAAAATACATTTTGTATACATGTTGATTAGAAATAAAGAACCCTTTTATAAATACTTTCTTTGAATCTGTCTAGTGTTCATACAAGGAACAATTAGATAATTACAATATGCTGTAATAAATATTACAATAAATATGTGTTAATACCTACATATCAATTTCTTCGTTTACATGTTCTGTCTAAACTGTAATCTATTTTTGTATGTTTGGTATCAGTTTATACAGTGATCGTAGCGATGTACTGTGTATTTCCAGGTGATCATGCTGAAATTAATTACATACATTTATTTTCCCGTACCAACACTTCTAATGATGACAAAGCAAAAAAAAAAAACCTTTTAAGACATTTATGCAAGTTCATTGAATAAGACAAAGGTGTGCACAAATATTCTGACCATCACACAATACCAGATCGCCTGCCACTCCATTAACCTCTCACTGCCCCTGATTGTCCCTGTCCAACAGGTCATAACGCGCCTGCATTTATAATTTATACTATCAAAGGTTTACCCGGCTTAGCCAGAAGAGGACTGGCAACCCCTCAGAGCCTGTTTTTTCCTCTAGGTTTTATCCTACATTCAACCCGATTTGGGAGTTATTCCTAGCCACTGTGCATCAACCAGTTGTGATTGATTAATTGGGTCTTCTTGTGTATGACACTACATTCTTGGCCTGTATTTGGGGAGAATCTCCTATTCTCCTTGGCTGATCCTGAGGGGCCAGTTGTTCAAAGGCAAGCTGATCGGATTTTGGTTATCGGATTGGATGAAGTCTTGAAAATAGATTGTTCAAAAGGGAAAGAAGGATTCTGAATCTGAATCAGATCATATCACGAAATCAAATCCTAGTTTTAATCTGGATCAGATGTGTTGTTTAAAACTTGTCAGTAGGAATTGGATTACTTTGATCCAAAAAAAACAAAATTATCCTGATCCAAACTGGGGGTAGGATTTCAAGGTGGATTCCAGAAAGAAAATGTAGTAAAACGTTAAAATTGGACAAATAATACACTTGTTTCATTTTGTGTATATACTTGTATTTATATTATGCAGTTGACTTGTGTAACCTTGTAACAGTGATAAAGTAGATAAAGTAGACATAGGCTACCAATTAAGCTATTGAGTATAATAAAGTAAAAATAAAATAAAATTGTCCCCATGAAATAATCCCCAAACCGATTTAAAAAACAAACAACAATAATATAGTCCATTTTTGTCATTCATCACTGTATATTAATTTCTAAGAAACAATCATCAGAGATGAGCCTGGCAAAAGTAATTTCTAAAGCCCTGCACTAGATTCAAGGTGTTGTAGGGGATGGTGAGCCTACGATTGTAGAGGAAAGTGAGCCAGTACCTCCTAATGCAGAAGACACATTCATTCTGGATCTCAGCCCTGTTATAGAAGAACAACCTGGATCCTCACTGGTAGAGCCAGCAGTCACAGGAGTTCAGAAAAGAGGCGTAAAGCGTCCTTTGGCGAGAAATAATGATGATGTCTATGAATCACTTCTTTAACGAGAAACTGAAAGAGCAGAAGCACAGATACTCCTGGCAGAGGAACAAATCAAGCTGACCAAACTGCAGCAAACCAAAGTTAAACTCCAGATCCGCCTCCTAAAAGCAGGCCTTGGAAATGCTGCTCTCCTCCTCAGATGAAGAATCCTGAACAATCTTTATTGTTTTTAACGTTTTCAAAATATGTATTTGTTAATATATATTTGTTTTTATTTGTTGTGGCTCAGATGAGGGGTAATAAAAGAAAATATGAATGGAAGTGGATGTTTGTTATTTTTGTGTTTTGTCTCAATATAAGAAACATTTACAGTGACCCCATGTTGGTTCTTCTATCTGTTCTTTACATGGCTGGTAGCCCACATTGTGATAAGTTGTCCAATTTAGACCACTGTTAATCCAGATTTGGTTATCGTGAAAACTGTGTATCTGGATCAGGGTGATCCAGTCCAATGTTGCTTTGAAAAACCGGCATAAAAGTAATACGGATTACCTGATCCTGAATAGAAAAAAATGGGATTTCCAAATATGGATGATTTCCATCCAGATTAAATGTTTCGAACAACTGGCCCCTCAAGAGCTCAGGTTGGATAGAAATGTTGATGCACAGCCATTTTCACAGGATTATGCTGTGTACTGTAGAGATGTTATTGGCCAGGTGAATAGCGGTGCCTGGTTTCTTCCAGACAATGCACTTGGTATTCAGGGCAAAGAGTTGGTTTAATCATATGTGAGTGTCTTGCTTGATGGTTATCTTTCTGGAAGGTTCTCCCATCGCAACACTTCAGCTTTGTCAAAGAGATTGTTGGTGTCACGCTCTTAGAGAGGTGTGCAGGATAAAGCCACACGCAGAGCTTGTTCGACCATTCGTGGTATTTATTACATATAAAATAAACACAACAACAACAAACAGGAAAACAATTTACAGGAGGAGAGCGAGGGTGAAGAAGAGGTAGGAGACCTTGGGGAGGGGGTGTTGAAGAATTCCTCGCCTGCACGGTCGGAAGGCAGTGCGGTAGCCGGGGAGGTCCCAAATTTTATCCGTTCTCTCCTACACCTGCTGAGTCTGTAGAGGTAGCTCGACTGAGGCTCAACATGGCTAAGGAAGAAACGAGGAGGTATGAACATGAGTTAACGCTCAAGAGAATGGAGTTAGAGGTCAAGATTAGACAGATCGAGACAGATGAAAAGGCACAAATTCAGATCAGGAGAATGGAGCTTGAGGCTGGGTTGGGTGTGTCACCACTTCGCGTCAGCTCCCCAGAACAATTCGACATGAGCAAACATATTGCTCTCGTACCCACCTTTGAAGAGGCTGATGTAGACCAGTACTTCCCCACATTTGAGAAAGTAGCAGCCGCCCTCAAGTGGCCACCAGAAGTCTGGCTGCTGCTGCTACAGTGGGGGCTCGTCCGGGATTTTGACCCCCTACTGGCCTCCTACCGGCCCCAAGTGTGGTCAGTGGATGCGTTGTGGTGTTGAGGTGTTGGTGTGGACTAGCCTAGCCTGAATAGTGTTCCCTGAGTACTGAGTGCGTGGTGAAGTGGTGTATTTAGCTACATCAACATGTTGCCAGAAGCAGTACCTGCGTTTGTGGAAAACTCTTCCTTGAGTGTGTTCGGGAAGCTAGGTAAAGTTGACCTACTAGCGGTAGCAGACTACTACAGGTTAGGGGTCAGTAGACAGGCAAAGAAGGCAGAAGTGTTTGAAGTACCTCTCCTAAGGCCATGGCTCCCAGACAGGCCAGGCAATGTTCAGAACTGGGGAGGGAGGGTGGTAAACCGCCGAGGAGGTTGCTTAAGTTTTCTAGCCTTAACAGACTCAGGATCGGCGGCAGGGACCGACACTGGCATTCCGGCGGGGACTGGCTGGGACTGGGTCCCTCTATTGACTAATCAGTTACATTTGCGTTTTAAAAACCATAAGTCCATCAACTAATTGAAAGACCCTAGTTCCTGAAGACAATTAGTTCTCTGCAGCTGTGGAACGTATAATGAGCTATGTTGTACTTCTTTCAGATGTTACTTTCTGAACGAGCTTCAGACATTAACGATCGAAAATACTTAAACTTTGGTACTGCCACTACTTAGAAGTTTTTGAAAGATAAAGACAAATGTAAATACAAACTGGATGCTATTTGAAGTTTCATATTAAAGGGTCTGTTTACTTATAGGTTATTGTGTATTGATTGATGAGGAAAGAAATACATGTAATCCATTTCGGAAAAAGGCTCTAATGAAAAGATTTGGAACAAGTGAAGTGGGTCTAATCATTTCAGAATGCTGTATAACATTATTTAACAGCTGCTTATACATCTGCTTATAATAGCAGTGTCAATAAAAACTCAAACAATTCTCAAAAGCCGGTTGGATGTATTATAGAACAAGAAAAACAGAATAATCACTTAATACTATAGTATATAATAGCAGTCAACCTGTTATGAAAACTGACAGTTTGGTGATTACATAACGCCCCAACCCACATTGAAATAAAACAGATTATGTAAAGTAACTTTATTTAAGTTCACATTTTAATCAAAGTTCATCCAGACCAATCAGGTATGTTAGTTAATTTCGTACCTTAATTATTTACTTAGTAAAAAAAACGGTCAACATTTACTGAGTATTTTGACTAAGTTAAGAAATGACAATTTAATCGATACAACATGTGTTGAAGACATTTTGTGTTTTTATGTCACAAATACAAAAGTATCATTATTAACATAAAAAATGTGTCCATGAGGTATTGGTGCTAAGATGAATTGCCCCTTTAAGATTTTTTATATACTAAGATTATTAACTATTTTTTTTTAAATAAATATTTCTGTGTAAAACAATATTTTTCCAGTCTGAATGAAGCTCTTATTGTAAGTGGGGCTTTGGGTGCTGTAAGGAAAAGATAGTTTTCTAATCCCTAATCAATCATTTTAGTAATTTCCTTATATAATCTATCTTCATTTCGCCGTAGGTTGTTGAAACCAGACCAATTTCTGGATTCTATCACTTATATGACACCCCTCTACAAATCATAAAATACACTTAAACCAAGGCTGTGCCAAAAGGTCAGTCTCCAGTCAGGGGCCGTTGCACAATATTCAGCATAGACTCTCTCAAGGCTTATCAGAAAGTGCATAGCTTTAGGTAACACTTCTCATTAAATGGTGTCCTGTTAATGAAATAATAAATCATAAATAATCTATGCTTAATACATTTTTATCTAGAACAGAAATATTTAAAATTCAATATGGCGGATATTTATTAGAGGAATATTGCCCACCAGGGAGTTTTCAGAATCATTTTCATTCAAATCTACTTTCCTCATTACAGCCACCCAGACGTTGGCAGGCATTACTGCAGTACCAACTGAACTAATCTTTATAGGAGGAGTTGATATCTCCGTGGTAGAGTGCATGCTTTGTATGTATGATGTCATGGGTTCAATACTCAGCTTCCCCTCAGGTTGCCATGCAGCACAGTTCACTCTCTATTTAAGGCGTATCATCGCCATATTGCCATTCCCATCGTCTGATTGAAAGCTTTTGAGGAATACTCTACTTCCACGTCCTCGTCCACAGCAGTCTACGTTATCGGGTTGAAAACCAGGGCTGAACAAATTATGCAAACTATACTGCAAAAAAGGTGGTGATTTTATGGTGTTCAAATCCAAATGTTAACCGTTATCATAAACCTAGCTGCTAGCATTAATAGCGATTTATGCTATTGCTATATGTTTCTGAAATGTTAAGGAGCTATCTGCCTAGGCTGCCTCACAGCACAATGGCAACCATAAATGTAATGCATTACTCAAACACAGGAGAGTTGACGCATTATCTTTTTGAATTAAATAAGGAAAGAAAACTATCCGCTCAGTGTTGCTTTATGTGGCTTAAACATGCTCCGCCACTCACATACTTTCAAAATCCCTCACTTTGTTTTCAGTGGCATCAGTTCCCATCTGAAAATCAATAACAAGGCCATCCTGTTCTAAATTGGCACTTATAAGCTTTCTAAAATATAGGAGATGTGTGATCGATAGACACTAAAGCATACATTTGTTTTTCCAAACACATTAAGTCCTCACCTAATAGGAAAATGTCTTTGAAGGGTGAAACTTGCAGCTGAGCCTGCCAGTGGCAAGTTAACAATCTTGCCACTAACCGATCATCTGATTGGTTTTCAGCCTGCATGTATATCTCCTGTATAGGTACTGAAAGTGAAATAATAATAAATCATTTAAAAAATTACGTAAAAGGAAACTGCTGGTTTAATGCTTGTACTGGTGCTAATATGTTGGAGATCGGGTCACTGAATAAGTTGTACATGTTGCAAAGTGGACTATTCACTACATTTGGTCATTCTGACATCATTAATGAACCCTGGAACTGTGAGGTGAATCTGTTCTCAGATATTAGCTGACCAGGAGAACATCGTTCCACTGTTAATGCTTTAAAGGTTTTAAAACTTTTTGTACTTCAGCTGTGCAATGCCCATCTTTTTAACACGATTAACTAGCACTCGCTTCACCGCACCGTTGTGACGAAAAGAGAGCTGAGCCGGAAGGCAAAGCTCTCGATCTACCGGTCAATCTTTGTTCCTACTCTCACCCATGGGCATGAAAGCTGGGTCATGACCGAAAGAATGAGATCGTGGATACAAGTGGCCGAAATGGGTTTTCTCAGAAAGGTGGCTGGCCTCTCCCTTAGGGATAGGTTGAGGAGCTCAGTCATCAGAGAGGAACTCGGAGTAGAGGCGCTGCTCCTTTGCATAGAAAGGAGCCAGTTGAGGTGGTTCGGGCATCTAGTACAAATGCCACCTGGGCGCCTCCCTAGAGAGGTGTTCCAGGTATGTCCAGCTGGGAGGAGACCTCGGGGAAGACCCAGGACTAGGTGGAGAGATTATATCTCCACACTGGCCTGGGAACGCCTTGGGATTCCCCAGTCAGAGCTGGCTAATGTTGCCCGGGAAAGGGAAGTTTGGGGTCCCCTGCTAGAGCTGCTACCCCCGCGACCCGACCCCGGATAAGCGGTTGAAGATGAGATGAGAATAAATAGCACTCCCGTATGCTAATAAATACTTTGTTGCCCCGACTTTCAAGTTATGGACATACATGGACAAAAATAAAATATTTCATTCGGTAGTGGAGTCGTGATTTTGTGTTCATAGTTTTTTGTTCACCAGCAAATGGTTCTGAATGCTTTTGGTGTGACTGTCATGAACATTCTGAGTCAAAAGATCTGGCAACTAAAAAAAATTACTAGTAGAAGAAGTAGCTATTGTACCCTAGACAACCTTTCTTAGGATAAGACAATGATTCTGATAAACTAGCTTACCATGGTCAGATAAGCTAGCAGTCTGAGTTTCTCATGGCATTGCGTGAATGATAATCAAAACAAAACAAAGCATGTTTATGTTATTTAATTTTACTTAACCAGCAAATTGAGATTTAAGATGCACTCCAATCACAAAATCAAATTCCAAGGTCCTCAAATAACATAGTCTAAAAGTGACCATTCTGTCTCAGATATACTCATATTGAATGTATGCAAAGAGGGAGCAGAATTCTGTGAAAAATGACATCACAGAAATAAAGATCACTTAATATTGTAGAGGCAGACAAACCATTGGCTATAACATTTGGAAGGCCTGAATGGAGCATAGTAGTTTCCAGGGCAGGGTACATTCTCTGAGACAGTGGATGCACACTGGTTCAAATGAAATTATTAGTGCAAAAGTGAACGGGGGAATGCAGGGATTGTGCTGAATAGCTCTCTGCTATTAATCAGTCAACATCTGGGATCAAACAACTCATAACGTAATTATTTTCGAGTGATATAGAATTGGCTAGTGATGACATTGACATAAAGCAGAGGTCCCCAGCAAGTTGATTGCTGCAGACCACTTATATGAAATGCATTAACAAAGTTCACATTTCTCACAAAGTCCGTTCATACTGACCTCCCTACATGTAAACCCAATGCAATTTCCATCTATAACCTATTATGCTTTACTTCGGACGGGATTTTTTTTTAAGGAAGATCAGTGGGCCAGATTCAAACCTATGTGACAGCAGAACATGTGCACAAGAGGTTGTAGCTTAGATCGCTGGACAACACCACGCCTTAGCCCTTGAAATGTACAGGTAAACTAAGAAAAAACAAACTCCCAAACTAACAACGCACCAATAGCAAAAGGTCAAAAAGGTGCAGTCTAAGACACACACACTTTCCTCAAACTCACAATAAAACATGCCATTACAGCCCACCCCTTCCTGTGGGGGCTACCTACCAATCAAGTGTTCAGTAAATTAGTCAATGAACTAATGAACTTACTTGCTTGCTTTCATGGCAATTAGTCACACCTGTGACACTCACGGTGGTGTTTTTTTGTTAATATCAGATCTGAGAACTCTACAATATATATTTTATTGGTATATGCAAGACAGACTAAAATCTCAAAGCTCACTGTCCAACAGCTAATTCACATAACAAGCATGATAACAAACAAAGATTCATAATTACATGCGGCAGCCTACAACTGAACATGGAAGCAGATTCATATTTAATGGTTATTTTTTCTACAATGGGGGGAGTGTGTTATACATTTTATTTTGCTCTGTGGTGGACTGTGTGTTTAATCGAGGACACAGGGGAGAGCTGTACGTTTCTTTGGTAATGTGTTCAAATTGTATTTGTATTGTTTTTTTTTCCCCTAATGTAATCAATACCATCCTTTCCCTGACGTTTTTGTTATTTACTATATTAGAGTGAGAAGGGATTTGTACCTGCCTCCAGTAACCTAGGTTTTTGAAAATTGTTAAGTTACATGTTATGTAGAACAAACCTGCCTTTCATACTTACATCTGAATTACATATGCTCTACTTTTTATCATTTCTGTATACAACATTGAAGACTGTTGTGTAACTAAATCGACTTTTTCTAATATTTTGAGTGTTTGTTTACGCCCTCAGTGTGGTTTTATGAAGATTTGGTCAAACTGCCTAATGTACACTTCAAAACACTATCATTGGGAATGCCAAATTAAACTGTTTGAATCTCTGTGACAGTTAATATTGTCACGTAACAATGGTGAAGTGCAATGAAAGCCACACGCAGAGCTGGATAATCATGTTTGTGGATATTTTATTTCCAAAGTAAAAAACAAGTAACAACACAAACAGAGAAAACATAGACATTGAGAATGAAATCAAATTGCACTAATGAGTGACTTACTAATAAAACATAAAACTCTATTAAACACTAACACGCACCAAATGGACGTGACGTTAAATAGAAACAATGCAAAGCAAAGTGCACTAAACCCCAGATAACTAAATAGCAAAGCTAATCACCTTCACATGGTGAAGCTGCATTTAGCAGTTACGCTGTATGAAACTGGAATAAATTACCTGAAGATCTCAGATGTGCCCCTAATGTATCCATTTTTAAAGCCAGGCTCAAAACATTTCTCTTTTCACAAGCGTATGACTGAGCGCTTAAGCTTTATCAGACTGTTAAGTCTATTTTTATTTTCTATTCCTCATCGAAGTGCCCATGTAATGTATACATAAAAGATCTGAAGTTCTAAAGATTTCTTGGTCAGATATAGAGACATGAAAAGGTTATAAAGACCTTTTGAATAAATTTCTTAAGACCTGGAAGTTCTCGGACAGTTTCTAAAAACCTGAAAAGTTACTGAAGACCATTTGAATAAAATGTACACAGTTAATACTGAGATGTAATGTTTTAAATGTAGAATGCATGTAGGGTGCTATAAATATAGAATGCATGTATTTTATTATTTTATATTTTTTCCTTTGTAAAGCACATTGAATTGCTTCTATCTATGCATTATACTACATATAAATAAACTTGCTTGCTTACTTGCTAAAATGAAACCAGCTGTGCTCATTGAAAACATACCACCGGAAATAAACTGTGCACCCCACTAAAATACCCGACGTGAGAACAAAATAAGGAGTAATGACCAGCATTGACAAAAAAGTAAAATGCACTTTTTCTTACTGCAATTGTCCTGTTTAGGCAAAATGGCTAAATTGCTATCGTAACAGAAACCATAACTGCTAACCAATATAAAAAACATATTTTCATATTAACTTGCAAAGTAGTGTAATATGCTTTGTTTCGAAATAAAAACATATTCTACAAAAGCCACTATTCAATGCATTCCTCATGTTTTTTTTAGCTTATAAATTGAGAATTTAGGCTATTGCTATTTGATAAAGAAATACATGCTCTACCTGTATTGTAAAGTCCCCACACAGTAGTCTGATGTCTGCTGAACTCAAACATTACTCTATCACACATCTTCCAGAATGGTGCAGAATTTGTCAGAATCAAATTACTTTTTAAGAAATATACATTTGGCAGGCAAAAAAAACATGATTTTATATTATGACAGTGAAACATACAGTTGTGTTAAATGTGGTTGAGCAAGAGT